TCTTGAGAAATGAAGATTCCAAGACCCATGGAAAACTATTTTTATAGTTGAACTCGATGAATGGGCATCTGTAGGGCGGTGGTTGGATAAAAGGGTATGGTGTAATCGTAATAGACTGAAGAGGGGAAATCCAGCAAGGTTGGTCTGTCCAGATTCTTCCTGGTCTCTCTGTATAGCATTCTTTTCTTTAAAGTAAAGGTTAGAATTCCTCTGGAATGATAGTCTTCAGGAAGGGAGAGGGAGAGAGCAACCTTTTCAGCTTTTATGACTTGCTTTGCAGGACAGGTGTTCTAGTTTCTATGACCTGCCTTAGGAAGGAATAATTCTGGTTTCTGAATTGCTTCAGGGAGGAAAAAGGGTAAGAAGTAGAGGAACAGGAAGTTAGAGAGGCTTTGCTTCTGAGTTTGCTTCTGAAGCACTCCAAGCACCTTTGGTTTATAGTATGCACCTGCCAGAGCTTCATACTTTGGGGTATTTTTTTCTGGGCCCCATTACTGTCAATCTTGATAGATAACAATATCTAACTTGGAAATTAAATTTCCTTTACTTTTGTGAGTTTTTCTTCATGTATTCTGAATTTCTATAATTAGATGTGTACACATGTAGGGTGTTTAGTCTTCTTGATGAATTGACTTTTCTTTTCCAGATGAATTAACATTATGAAATATTTCTCTCTCTCTGATAGTCTTGAAGACTATCTCATGTGATATAAACATACTAGATTTCTTATGCTTGCTGTTTACATGGCTTACTTCTTTATTTCCTTTACTTTCAACACATTTCTATTCATCAAGTGAGCTGCTTGTTGAAAGCAGAAAGCTGGGCTTTGCATTTTTTTTATATAGTCTGATGATTTCTTTCTTTTAAATTTCAATTACTATTGCTGTCTCTCCAGTCCAGTATCACATCCTTAATACTGGCACCATACCGAGCTCTTATCTTTTGTTCTGTTCTATGCACAGCTGGGAAAATAATGATGTGATCTTATCTGCAGAATGAAAACAAGCTGAATAAATTGCTGTCAGAAGCTTTCTGCTAGTATGTCACTGGAGATATGCATAGTTCAAGTATCTTTTCTGTCTACTGGGAACAGTGTTTACTAATACCTGAATGTGGGAAATTGCTAAAATATAGTTAATTAAGCCAAGAAATGAAAAAAATTATCCAAACTGCCTAGACTTCTGTTATTTAATGTGCATTCCCTTCCTTCCTTTTTTCCTTCTTCCTTTCATTAATTCCTTTTTTCTTCCTTCCTTCTTTTTTGCTCTCCCTCTCTCAGCCCCCCTTTCTTCCTTTTCCTCTCTTTCTTTCTTTCTTTTTTTTTTGGTATGGGGAGGGGGCCTTCTTAGTTTCTTGTTTGACCTGTTTATAATATTATAGGCAATATTGATTCATTATGTTTGGATGTTTTGCCATTTTTTCCAAATAATTATCTCTTATGTAATTGTTTTACATCTGCTATATACTCTCTCGTCCTAAGGATAAATAAGAAACAAAACAGTATGCAGTCACAGATGATAAGGAAAATTTGTTTCCATAGCTCTAATATAATACATGGCTTCCTCTCACATATTCATATAATTTTATTTTAAAATTTTTATTAACATAGATTAATTGCACAAGAGTTTCATTGTGATGTCTACATCCATTCATATAATGTACTTTGATCAAATTCACTTGTCTATATTACTCTTTCATGGTTCCCTTATCTCCTCCCCCTTCCTTTTAAACAGTCTTTAGTGAGATTATTATGCTACTTTCATACATATATAAAATGTTCTGCTATCATATTCACTCCTGATCACCCTTTCATTTGCCCCTCTCCTCTCCCACTGGTCCCCTCCCCAACAGCCCTCCTTTTACCATTATATATATATTATATATATAATCATATATATATATATGATTTTCATAGTAATTTTTCACAACTTTCTAGGACCATGAAAAAGTTACACCTGTTACATCTTATTGTGAATTTTTTTTGGCTTTGTTTTAAAGTCTTTTACTTGCTTGTCAGGTAACCTGCATACAAAGGACATATTCACTCCTGATCACCCTTCATTTGCCCCTCTCCTCTCCCACGGTCCCCTCCCAACAGCCCTCCTTTTACCATTATATATATATTATATATATAATCATATAAATATATGATTTCATAGTAATTTTTCACAACTTTCTAGGACCAGAAAAATTACACCTGTTACATCTATTGTGAATTTTTTTGGCTTTGTTTAAGTCTTTTACTTGCTTGTCAGGTAACCTGCCAAGCATTACTATATGCTTCATTATATTATTGTCATCTTATTTATCTTACAGTATAAGTACCTTATTAGGATCCTACTGATAAGGAAATGTAATTTCATGGATTTTAAACTTATAGACACTGAATTATGTTCTGAAAGTCTGAGAAATTTTGAGTTCTAATCCCTTCATTTTGTAAATGAGAAATTAAAGCTTGTCAGAACAAAAAAAATTGACTAGCAAGGATCACACAACCAATATTAGCATAATATCCAATGCTTATTAAATGTCTACTGTGTTTCACTTGGAAAACACAGTTCTGCTTCATGAAGTTAAGAATTTTGAGAGCTACATTCTCATAGCTACTGTAAGCTCTGGAAGAAAGAATGAGATTTAAGTCAAAACTTTTCACAAAGCTTTCATCATAACTTCTTACCATTGAAGCAAACTGAGATTCATCGACAGCTATATGTGGATATGGCTTTCTTGCTTTCCAAACCAAAGGATGTTTAGAGCTTCCTGAAGGGTCTGTACCTCATATTCTTCCCCAATTCTCACCTCCACATCTTAACATATGGAGGATTAGGATGTGGATTAATCAAGAAAGCTGTCCAGTCATTGCCATAAACTGCATTTGAGTGTCTGATAAGCCTGACAGTTCCTATAATGGGGCAATGAGAAGCATGGAATTCAAGGTCTCTATTATTTCTAATAATCTTTTGGTGAGAAATAGGTACCCTTGATTCATCATCAATTTCTTATGAGAGCTGTTTACAGATAATCCACATATTTGATGAAAAATATTTAAGTTTGATATAAAAATTGCAAAGACAATATTCACCCTTACTGCAGTAGCTACAGGGTAAAAATAGTGATTATAAAAAAGGGAGTTCTTTAAACAATGGAGAATCTTATAAGTGGTCTCATTCCTGATGTTATCTTTTTCTTACCAAATTTAGGTGAGACTGTAGCAGCTGTTTCATCCCACAGTACAGAGTATCCATTTGAAGAAACTTTTGAAATGTAAAGTTCTGATTTGGGGGTACTTGCATCTTTTCAATCTTCCCTGAATTAAAAAAAATTTTACATAGTGAATTCAGAAAAAATAAATATCAAAGCAGTATTTCTCCCATTTCCTTAGAAAATTTGAGTCAAAAATATGTTTAACTTGTATCATTCCAATGAAATTATGAAGGCCAATAAAATTATAGAAAAGTAGATAAGTTAACAACTTGATTGCGAGACCTTACCAAGTCTCTTAACTATGATATTATAAGGTAAGACTTTCCAAGTAAATCATGTTTATGGCATTGATGCATGGTTTTCAATAAAGTCATATGTGTAATATGTGTGTGTTTAATATATTTGCATATAAGGCCTTTTTACAAATATCCAAGGGAGTCAGTTTTTAAGGGTATTAAGGGTATTAAATTCTGATTTAGAGTGATAAATCAATATGACCCAATATAGATTCTAATAATCTATATTGATATGATCTGGGTACCTAAGACCAAGGGTCTCATCTTTAAAGACTGAGAATCCTTACAAATTATAATATCTGCTCTTTTCATAGTTTAATATCTTTATAGACATTAGCATGAACCAGCATTAAGTTGACATATGAGAAGCCAATACTCCTCAGGGAGCTGTCATAGATATACAGGTCAAAGAAATAATAGGACCCTTAGAGCATCATTAAGGAAAAAGCATCTCAATTAGGCATACTTTATAGTTATAGTAATTATAGATAATAGAATGAGGATTATATAGGGCAAAGTTGGTAAGCATACCCCTGGAGAGAGGTGCCTGAAAGAAGTTGTTGGATTGGGCCTGCCACTCCTTACAAAATGGAAAATGTAGAGACACTCCTCTTACCTGATGTGTCACCCTTCTATAACCAGATCCATTACACAGAGGATTAGAACAAAGTTATCTTATGGGCTCTATGTCAATGGCTGAAAAAGGCAACTTGTGATGACTAGTATATTTGTGTGCCACTCCCTGGGTGAGATTCCAGTTCCTCTTACAAACATCATAGTGTGCTAGCTATGCATTCCTCTTCCTGTGCACCATTACAACCCCACAGTTCTCCAGCTTCTCCATTTCAGAAGAAAGCTGAATCTGCTCCATCCCAGGGAACCTAGGTTCACTTGCCAGTGAGGCCTCAAAATACCAATCACTTAGCAAAATACCAGAGCATCAAAATTGTAAGTACCTTGAGAGAGAAGACCAATTTTAAAAAATCACTACTACCTCCACCATAAGATACAGTCCTGAATTAAAGATATTATAAACTCTCTAAGCTTACTGTCAGAGAGGAGCCAATGAGGCGAGATGAAAAATCAAGCAAGAAAGATATGAAACAAATCAGAGTCAGTTTGGCATAGTCATTAAGATTAAATGTAATCATTTACTCCTCATCTATCCATTTGTGTGGCAAACATTTATAAAACCCTCCATGCTAGGTCTTGAAGAAAGAGAAATGAAAATAAAATGACTTCTCAAGGAGTCCTGGCAGTCTAGTAGTTTTGTAAACTGTGGAACGCATATACACTACTTGTAATGACAATTAAAAAAAAACCATTTAAATTTGTTCATGGAATGAGTCCTGAACAATTCAGTATGTTACTTGCTAGAGTACAACCAAGAAGTATATTTTTCTGCTTTTTCCCACAGCAGTGTTCTAAAAAGATTACACCAAATTTTATTTTGAAGAATTCCTCTTTGATGACACATTAACATTCCTAGGCAGACTGCAAATGTGGCAGCTTTTAGCAGCAGCATACTGGATGCTTCTCCTTGGAACTATATATGGTAATAAGAAAGGAACCAGCACAAATCCTGAAGCTAATATGAATATTGTAAGTCATTCATTGAAAAAAACCCACCAAGATGCTTATCAATTTGTCTTCAGCTTAGAAGCAATCGGTGTGCCTGTCTAGTTTCCAACAGTTCCTCCCATGATGAATCTGTACTTTCTCTCCTGTTCCTTCATCTGCCTAACTAATCCAAGAGTTGAAAGATCTGGCCCAAATTGGAGCAGTAATAAACCATCTCTTGGTGGTTAGAGCTACCATCTAACGATGGCTTTCTGAGTTCATAAGTTAATATTGGTGATCCATGTAGAATCTACTGGAGTTCATCCTGGGTCTTTGCTTACTGTCAGAGAGGAGCCAATGAGGCGAGATGAAATGAAATCAAGCAAGAAAGATATGAAACAAATCAGAGCAGTTTGGCATAGTCATTAAGATTAAATGTAATCATTTACTCCTCATCTATCCATTTGTGTGGCAAACATTTATAAAACCCTCCATGCTAGGTCTTGAAGAAAGAGAAATGAAAATAAAATGACTTCTCAAGGAGTCCTGGCAGTCTAGTAGTTTTGTAAACTGTGGAACGCATATACACTACTTGTAATGACAATTAAAAAAAAAAACCATTTAAATTTGTTCATGGAATGAGTCCTGAACAATTCAGTATGTTACTTGCTAGAGTACAACCAAGAAGTATATTTTTCTGCTTTTTCCCACAGCAGTGTTCTAAAAAGATTACACCAAATTTTATTTTGAAGAATTCCTCTTTGATGACAAATACATTAACATTTCCTTTCCTAGGCAGACTGCAAATGTGGCAGCTTTTAGCAGCAGCATACTGGATGCTTCTCCTTGGAACTATATATGTAATAAGAAAGGAACCAGCACAAATCCTGAAGCTAATATGAATATTGTAAGTCATTCATTGAAAAAAACCCACCAAGATAAGGCGTTATCAATTTGTCTTCAGCTTAGAAGCAATCGGTGTGCCTGTCTAGTTTCCAACAGTTCCTCCCATGATGAATCTGTACTTTCTCTCCTGTTCCTTCATCTGCCTAACTAATCCAAGAGTTGAAAGATCTGGCCCAAATTGGAGCAGTAATAAACCATCTCTTGGTGGTTAGAGCTACCATCTAACGATGGCTTTCTGAGTTCATAAGTTAATATTGGTGATCCATGTAGAATCTACTGGAGTTCATCCTGGGTCTTTTTTGAACTGTAATTTCTTTGATTTTGAGAGCTATGCTAGCATACTTTTGATTTAATAACTCAGGCTTGGTTTCTGTTGCTTAAATTACAGGAATTCATTACCAGAAATGAAATGTAATAGTGCTGGAAAGGAGTAGGGGGACAAATAACAAATGTCCACTATATGCTTCATTCCAATGGAATGATAAATAGAAGAGTAGTAGGCATTCAGTGCCATACACTCTGTCTCCAGAGTCTGAGCTCTTAGCCATTGCTCTGTGTAACCCCGTAACTTATGCATGTACCTGTGTGCCTGATATGAGCAGATGCATAATCTTGTGATGAGGGCTTATGCTCCAGAGCTAAACTTACTTTGTCATTTGTTAATTTTTAAATCTTTCTAGTGTATAATCTTGAATACATTATTAATCTTCCTGAACTTCAGCTTTCTCAATTCTAAATGTGTGCAATTCTATCTCAAAGGCCTTTTATAAGATCAATGAGAAAAGGCATGCATAGACCTAAGGGACACTAGTTCCTTGCTTCCTCCTTCATCTGTGGATGGGATAGCTTCTATTGACCTTTCTAAGTAATTCTATGTTCTTTCATACTTTTCTTTCTGCCTAAGAGGCTGACCTATAAAGATTAGATCAGCAAGATCCTTTGACCTTTGGTTTTCAGATCCATTAGAGCCAATGGAAATCTTTAGCAGAAGGTAGGAGGAAAGGGAGGAGAGTGAGATCAGAAGTTTTATTGTCCTGGCTCTTTCCTTATGAAGGCAAACTCAATAAACCATCTCCCTTAATGTGATCCTCTCTGCTTCACTTTCTTTTTCTGGATTCTGATAGCAACTTCCTTCTATTTCCCTTACAGTCTAAATTGGTAACAGTTCAAGTGTTATCAGCCACAAGGTATTACACAATGCCCTGTGGTTTCTCTCATCAGATGATTTTATAAATTTTTGCTGAAATATTTTGAGAATGAATTAGTGTGTATTGGTGATACTAAGCCAAAAGGCATAACCAGTGACTGTTCTGAGCAAAGTGGGATATAGAACATGCAATGCTTCTACTCTGCTTTACCCATGTCTTTCTACACAACCTGTTCTAGAAATTTTCCTCAAATTACACTAATTTTTCCTATTACGTACTGTCCCAACACATCAGCTGATACAAAACAAGATGTATTTTAAATCTTTAAATGTTTTAATCGTCCCTGAACCTTCCTTCAATTCATTTCCGCTACAGGTAGCTGCCAAAATGTACTCTCTCAACAATGAGAAGCTACATAAGGTATGATCAGATCCAGGCATGACTGTGACTGCTACTTTACAGTATTTAAACTTGGCAGTTAGTACACCTCTTCTCCAAAAGGTAAGATTAATCAACACAGACTCACTTTCTTATTTCCAGAAGGCTGAAGTTCAGTTAGCTACTCACTCCCAGGATGCTATTTAGTCCCAACTTTTTCGTTTTTCTGTTTTTTTACTTTTGGTGTGGTAATGGGGATTGAAGTTCAGGGCCTGTGCTTACAGGCCAAAGAGCTCATACAACCTGAGCCAGAGCTTCCAGCCCCAGACACAGCATCTTGACGGTATCAACACAAGTTGGTACAGATAGTTTGTATACAAATACAAATAGTTCATATATGAATAGTTTGTATAAATCAAAAAACTATGTATGAAGAAAGGAAAAAGTCTAGTGACTTCTTTCCTCTCTTCTTTCTTTTTCAATTCCTCTTTGCCGATTCATTTTTTTTTATTTCACTTTCTTAGTTAAAATGTTCAAAGTATACATTGGGAGTAGAGTTTTTTGATTAATAATTTTACCTTTTGTGAAATTCTACTTATCATCTTACATTTTCTTTCTAACACTTCACATGAAGCAGTACCTATATAATCTAGCCTAAACAAATGGTACTTTTGCTGTCATTTTTATTGTTTTGAGAAAACTTTAAAGATTTGTAATAAGATACTTCTATGATATAAAATGTTCCAGATATAAATAATAGTAATGGAGCTAACATTTATTTTGCAACCAAATCTTTTATGTATTTTAGCTATCATTGAATTGTATATCAATTGTTTGAAATAGCACTTATTATTATTTTCTCCATTATACAGATAAGCTAACTAAAACATAAAGAAGTTAATACATAGCAAAAATGGATTTTGAGTCAGAGCTATCTGACTCAAATACCATCATAACACATATATAATCTCAATTTTATAAAAGAGAAAAATAAGACATAGAAAAGACAAATTACTTGTTCAAATAGTGTTCAGAAAACACTAGACCCTAGGTTTTCCTGGCACTAAATTTCATCTCTTAGCCTCTCTTCTGTAATACAGGAAATCAAGAGAGAGAATTTTTTATGTAAACACTGAAGAAATCCTTGTCTGTGTTTTGCAGCTCCAAAGCCTTTGTGTATCTGCAACATGGCTTAATTGCATCTGCCAGTAACTGGATCTGCAACCTGCCTAACAACAGCTTAGCTTTCCTTCTGGCATATAATGGCTATGATGTGTGGTTGGGGAATAGCCGAGGAAACACCTGGTCCAGAAAACACCTGAAATTGTCACCCAAATCACCTGAATATTGGGCCTTTAGGTAAGGAAAAACTTGCTAATGGGTCAAGTGTGTACTTTGCTCATTTGTATGTATAAGCACCTGTTGATATTTCCCTTTCTGTACAAGCTCATCCAATGGGATCCACAAGGAAGAAGCAAATCTTTCCTCCTCCATCCTGGCTTTCTTTACAGACTCTGAAGAAATACCCTCATTATTGCGTTTGCTTGTTTTCAAGTTCCTACTTTTTTCCTGATATGGTGTATGTGTGTCCTAATCACAGAATGGTTAAATAGCAGAGGTTGCTGTCTGCTTTCCAAAGCCCTGACCTGCTTGATAACAGGGACAAACCATGTAGTTGCACAGGAGCTAAAAAACATGCCTTGGAGGTCACTACAGTCGTGTTCCTGCCTACTTTCTGGAAGCCATTTAGCATGTCCTAATTCCACACCCCAGAGGGATTGTGTCATTGCACTATTGCAAACGACTAGGTTTTTGGGAAACAGCCAAGATGCCCCAGCACAGAGAATGGATTAAGAAAATGTGGTATCTATACACAATGGAATTCTATGCAGCCATGAAGAAGAACGAAATGTTATCATTCGCTGGTAAATGGATGGAACTGGAGAACATCATTCTGAGTGAGGTTAGCCTGGCCCAAAAGACCAAAAATCGTATGTTCTCCCTCATATGTGGACATTAGATCAAGGGCAAACACAACAAGTGGATTGGACTATGAGCACATGATAAAGCGAGAGCACACAAGGGAGGGGTGAGGATAGGTAAGACACCTAAAAAACTAGCTAGCATTTGTTGCCCTTAATGCAGAGAAACTAAAGCAGATACCTTAAAAGCAACTGAGGCCAATAGGAAAAGGGGAACAGGTACTAGAGAAAAGGTTAGATCAAAAAGAATTAACCTAGAAGGTAACACCCACGCACAGGAAATCAATGTGAGTCAATGCCCTGTATAGCTATCCTTATCTCAACCAGCAAAACCCTTGTTCCTTCCTATTATGCTTATACTCTCTCTACAACAAAATTAGAGATAAGGGAAAATAGTTTCTGCTGGGTATTGAGGGGGGGGAGCGGGAGGGGGTGGAGTGGGTGGTAAGGGAGGGGGTGGGGGCAGGGGGAGAAATAAACCAAGCCTTGTATGCACATATGAATAATAAAAGAAAAAAAAAAAGAAAATTATCAGTAGATCTTTACAAATCAAATATTTTTTAATTCTACTTTTCTAAAAGTGTGATCTCTTGCAATCAAGGTGAAATATTGAAAACTTGCTTAGATGTGTAATATTGCATTAACTCTAGTCTCATATTTAATGAAAGCATTGTATCTACTATTAATATGTTTAATATAGCAGGTCTATTGACATGTCTTTTCCAACTTTGTTTCATTGACAGTTTGGATGAGATGGCTAAATATGACCTTCCAGCCACAATCAATTTAATTATAGAGAAAACTGGACAGGAAAGACTCTACTACGTGGGCCACTCCCAGGGTACTACCATAGGTGTGCTTGGGGAAGATATGAACAGAGGGTGTCAGGGGATCTTCTTCCATATTTATGGAAGGGATCAGTATATCTTTCTCTCTCGAGTCTCAAGCTTGGAAAGTTTAACTGAAGCAAGGATGACAACAGGGGCTTTTTCCAACACTGAATTTGGAGTGTACAGGATGGAAATAGAGAAAATTATTCATTTATTATTTCTGTACCCAATAAACATTGTGAGCACCTGTGTTACATGCGGGGGAAGAAAAGATAAATATCATATACATTCTTACCTTGGAGATCACTAGTCTAGAGAGGGAAATCAAAAAGAAAGCACAAAATTATAAAGCTCTTTGATTTTTTGCTATAGTCAGTGTGATTTTCAGTTGCAGAGAGGCCCTGGAGTAGGCCAGATGTGGGTACAACCAACGTGGCTGTGCCGTTCAGTACCACAGACCCCCACTGTTCTCTGTTGTTCTCCCTGGAAACTTCAAATGTCTAAGACCATTATCATCCATGTATCACGAATGGTTGACTTTAATGTTCTTTCTACTGGAGATAATACCAAATAACACCTCGAATTTCATATATACACATACATAGCAAAGGATTTACAAAACTTTTACTTATGTGTTTGTGTGTGTGTGTATATATGAATTATCCTCTAAGCATTCTATTAGCCTCATTGACAGATTGAGAAAACCAAGACCCATAGGGGAAGTAACTAGTGAATGGGAAGTGCCTTGGGGATCATCATCACCCAGTGATCCTTGGAGTTTAACCAGACTTGCTCCACAGAGGATGTTTGAAACTCTTTTAACACTCTCTCCAGGGACAAGAAACTTAACTTTATTCTGAATTAGTCAATTTTGTCCTTGAGAAACTTAGAAATTCCTCCCCATAAATAGTACTTGCTCTGAGTAGTTTTGTGTTTTGTTTTGTTTTATGTGGCCACCTACACTATCATTTACAATGGAGAGATAATTATTTTAAATCTATGAACTAGTGTCTTCTTCCCTTTCAGCTTTTATAGCGTTCTCTACAAATCCAGAACTGGCTAAAAGGATTAAGATATTTTTTGCACTAGCTCCAGTTGTGACAGTAAAATACACCCACAGTCCTATCAAAAAATTAACCACTCTTTCCAGACAAACCATCAAGGTATGTGACCACCCCAAATTTAAATTTGCAATAACTTTAAGTATCTCTGTTTTCAAGGATTTCAAGAGAAGACAAATATCTGAGAATATAATTTGTATGCAAGGGATCCATATGGTTTTACTAATGGTATATAATCTTTTCATCAGGGTTCAGGGAACTCATTCTGATACCATTGCACCCTCTGTCCTCTGTCACTCCTCCATCACAGCTAAAGTGAGAGCTGATTTGATTGACAGATTTGAGTTTTATGAGAAACTCCATAATAACTGTACCCATTTACATTCCCACTAACATTGTATAAAGGATACCCTTTTCCCCACATCCTCACCAGTTCTTGTTGTCTCTTGTCCTTTTGGTAATAGCTGCTCTAACTCGAGTGAAGTGCTTACTCATCATGGTTTTTCTTTTTATTTCTGTGGCACTGGAATTTGAACTCAGGGCCTCATGCTTACTAGGCAGGCACTCTTACTGCTTGAGTCACTCCCCCAGCCTCATTATGGTTTTGATTCACATTTCCCTGATGATTAGTAATGTTGAACATTTTTTCCATATACTTGTTGGCCATCTGTACTCTGTCCGAGAAACATCTAACTCTTTTTCCCATTGTTAATCAGATTTTTTTGCAATTGAGCTGAGTTCCTTATATATTCTCAATATTAATCCATTGTCAGATATGTAGTGTGCAAATATTTTCTCCCATTCTGTAGATCTTCTCTTCATTCTGTTGATTGTTTCCTTTGCTGTTCAGAAGCCATTTACTTTACTATAATCCCATTTCTCTCTTTCTGCCTTGTTCCTAATCTTTTGGAGTCTTGTCTGAAAAAATCCTTCCCCATTCCAATGTTCTGAAATGTTTCCCTAACTTGTCTTCTAGCAGTTCCATAGTTGCAGTTCTTACATTTAAGCTTTAATTTGTGGAAGTTTCAATTTTGTACATGTGGACATCGATTTTCACAGTGGCATTTATTGAAGAGAATTTCCTTTCTCCAATGTGTGCTGTCAGCACATTTGTTGAAGATCAGTAGGCTATAGCCTTGTGGGTTTACTTCCAGGCTCTCTGTTCTATCTCATTGGTCTATGTGTCTGTTTTTAGACCAACATCATGCAGCCTTGATTGCTAGAGCTTTGTAGCATTTTAGAGTCAAGTAGTATAATGCCTCAAGCTAGCCAAGCA